TACCTATACTAACTCTGTCTAACATCACTGAACTGTACGTATTGATATTTATACAATTACATGTTCTAATATTTTATTTTGGTCTGTGTTCTGTGTCATGAATAACACTCAGCTTGAAATATCACTGTCAGTCAGTAAATATCACCGTCTTTCAGTAAATATCACAGTCATTCAGTAAATATCACCGTCTTTCAGTAAATATCACTGTCAGTCAGTAAATATCACCGTCTTTCAGTAAATATCACCGTCTTTCAGTAAATATCACCGTCTTTCAGTAAATATCACCATCTTTCAGTAAATATCACTGTCTTTCAGTAAATATCACAGCCAGTCAGTAAATATCACCGTCTTTCAATAAATTTCACTGTCAGTAAATTTTCACAGTCAGTCAGTAAATATCACCGTCTTTCAGTAAATATCACAGTCATTCACTAAATATCACCGTCTTTCAGTAAATATCACAGCCAGTCAGTAAATATCACCGTCTTTCAATAAATTTCACTGTCAGTAAATTTTCACCGTCAGTCAGTAAATATCACAGTCAGTCAGTAAATATCACTACCATTCAGTAAATATCACCGTCTTTCAGTAAATATCACAGTCAGTCAGTAAATATCACCATCTTTCAGTAAATATCACTGTCTTCCAGTAAATTTCACTGTCAGTCAGTAGATTTTCACTGTCAGTCAGTAAATATCACTATCTTTCAGTAAATATCACCATCAGTCAGTAAATATCACCGTCTTTCAGTAAATATCACCGTCAGTCAGTAAATATCACCGTCTTTCAGTAAATATCAGCGTCAGTCAGTAAATATCACCATCAGTCAGTAAATATCACCGTCTTTCAGTAAATATCACCGTCAGTCAGTAAATATCACCATCAGTCAGTAAATATCACCGTCAGTCAGTAAATATCACCGTCTTTCAGTAAATATCACCGTCAGTCAGTAAATATCACCGTCTGTCAGTAAATATCACTGCCGTTCAGTAAATATCACAGTCTTTCAGTAAATATCACCGTCAGTCAGTAAATATCACCGTCAGTCAGTAAATATCACTGCCGTTCAGTAAATATCACCGTCTTTCAATAAATATCACCGCCAGTCAGTAAATATCACTGCCTTTCAGTAAATATCATTGTCAGTCAGTAAATATCACTGCCGTTCAGTAAAATCACCGTCTTTCAGCAAATATCACCGTCAGTCAGTAAATATCACCGTCAGTCAGTAAATATCACTGCCGTTCAGTAAAATCACCGTCAGTCAGTAAATATCATTGTCAGTCAGTAAATATCACCGTCAGTCAGTAAATATCACTTCCTTTCAGTAAATATCACTGCCTTTCAGTAAATATCATTGTCAGTCAGTAAATATCACTGTCAGTCAGTAAATATCATCGTCAGTCAGTAAATATCACTGCCTTTCAGTAAATATCACCGTCTTTCAGTAAATATCACTGTCAGTCAGTAAATATCATCGTCAGTCAGTAAATATCACTGTCTTTCAGTAAATATCACCGTCTTTCAGTAAATTTCACTGTCAGTCAGTAAATATCACTGCCTTTCAGTAAATATCACCGTCAGTCAGTAAATATCACTGCCGTTCAGTAAATATCACTGCCGTTCAGTAAATATCACCGTCAGACAGTAAATATCACTGCCGTTCAGTAAATATCACCATCTTTCAGTAAATATCACAGTCAGTCAGTAAATATCACTGTCTTTCAGTAAATATCACCATCTTTCAGTAAATATCACAGTCATTCAGTAAATATCACCGTCTTTCAGTAAATATCACCATCTTTCAGTAAATATCACTGTCTTTCAGTAAATATCACTGCCGTTCAGTAAATATCACCGTCAGTCAGTAAATATCACCGCCTTTCAGTAAATATCACCGTCAGACAGTAAATATCACCGTCAGTCAGTAAATATCACTACCATTCAGTAAATATCACCGTCTTTCAGTAAATATCACCGTCTTTCAGTAAATTTCACTGTCAGTAAATTTTCACTGTCAGTCAGTAAATATCACTATCTTTCAGTAAATATCACCATCAGTCAGTAAATATCACTGTCAGTCAGTAAATATCACCATCTTTCAGTAAATATCACTATCTTTCAGTAAATATCACCGTCAGTCAGTAAATATCACCGTCTTTCAGTAAATATCACCGTCAGTCAGTAAATATCACCGTCTTTCAGTAAATATCACCGTCAGTCAGTAAATATCACCATCAGTCAGTAAATATCACAGTCCTTCAGTAAATATCACCGTCTTTCAGTAAATATCACCGTCAGTCAGTAAATATCACTGCCGTTCAGTAAATATCACAGTCTTTCAGTAAATATCACCGTCAGTCAGTAAATATCACCGTCAGTCAGTAAATATCACTGCCGTTCAGTAAATATCACCGTCTTTCAATAAATATTACCGCCAGTCAGTAAATATCACTGTCAGTCAGTAAATATCACCGTCAGTCAGTAAATATCACTGCCGTTCAGTAAATATCACCGTCTTTCAATAAATATTACTGCCAGTCAGTAAATATCACTGTCAGTCAGTAAATATCACCGTCAGTCAGTAAATATCACTGCCGTTCAGTAAATATCACCGTCTTTCAATAAATATCACCGCCAGTCAGTAAATATCACTGCCTTCAGTAAATATCATTGTCAGTCAGTAAATATCACTGCCGTTCAGTAAAATCACCGTCTTTCAGTAAATATCACCGTCAGTCAGTAAATATCACTGCCGTTCAGTAAATATCATTGTCAGTCAGTAAATATCACTGTCTTTCAGTAAATATCATCGTCAGTCTGTAAATATCACTGCCATTCAGTAAAATCACCGTCAGTCAGTAAATATCACCGTCAGTCAGTAAATATCACTGCCGTTCAGTAAATATCACCGCCTTTCAGTAAATATCACCGTCAGTCAGTAAATATCACTGCCGTTCAGTAAATATCATTGTCAGTCAGTAAATATCACTGTCTTTCAGTAAATATCACCGTCAGTCAGTAAATATCACTCCCTTTCAGTAAATATCACTGTCAGTCAGTAAATATCATCGTCAGTCAGTAAATATCACTGCCGTTCAGTAAATATCACTGCCGTTCAGTAAATATCATTGTCAGTCAGTAAATATCATCGTCAGTCAGTAAATATCACTGCCGTTCAGTAAATATCATTGTCAGTCAGTAAATATCATCGTCAGTCAGTAAATATCACTGCCGTTCAGTAAATATCACTGCCGTTCAGTAAATATCACTGTTAGTCAGTAAATATCATAGTCAGTCAGTAAATATCACTGCCTTTCAGTAAATATCACTGCCTTTCAGTAAATATCACTGTCAGTCAGTAAATATCATCGTCAGTTAGTAATTATCACTGTCTTTCAGTAAATATCACCGTTGTTCATGCTGTCAGTAGCAACTTTGTGTTTTTTCTGGCTTGGTTGAAGCGATGGGCTGTGAGACCCCACTGCTGAGTGATGCAGCTGACCGACGGAGGCACACCGCAGACGGGGCTAGAGGACACACAGGCCCGGCTAGCGGGCTGCTATGCTAAAGGCTAAATCAAGGCTAAAGACTCATTATGCTGAGAGTCCAGTGGTTTCTTCTGCTCCCTCAATAACAACCTGCAATACGTTACGACCCCCAGTCGTAATAGCCCTTCTTTGTATGTGTTTGTGGCCGTTTTGTGTTTTTCCATTACTGTATCATGTGCAGGTACTTGAGTGGCCACTCGGGGGCGCCTGGCAGTATGAGGTCGCTGAGCCACCATCTTGCGAGATGTTCAGGGATCTTTCCCCTTTGACATGACCTGGAAGAACACCTGTTCAGACCAACCTGGGACTCTTCACACCACACTTTGCTGCACTTAAAGTTTGTGTGAAGTTTGAAGTTGTGAAACTCGGTGAACATTGGAAAAGTGGGGGGCGGTGCCGTTTTGTTTTGGGTACCTTGTTCTCCTGTGTAAGGTAGGGAGTTGGGGCAGCTATATGTATTTTTGTTTCTTTTGTTTTTAAGTTTAGTTAGTTTTTCATCATTAGTAGTTTTGCTTGTTATTTTGGCGAATGCTCATCCCTGAAGCCATCACCTCAGCTGGTCTGCGTTTTTGAAGAAAATAAACCTGTCATTTTCAGGTCTAAACGGTGTCCGGTGTTTGGTCCGGCAGCAGGTCAGGAGAGAGAGCCCACTCTCATTTTCTGTTACTGCCTGACCCTAGACCGGGTCATAACAAATAACATTAACTCAGACTGTGAGTGACCACACAGCAGCAGACGAGTGATTACTGAAAGAAGCAGCTCAGCCATTCAGGTTAGCGGCTCTGTCAGCGTGTTTTTCTCACCAAATGCTGCTGTCACAGATTTTGCAATGAGCATTTTTACTGCTGCTTGTCGTCCCACACTGCCGACGGGGTGTTAAGTCCTGTCTGCTGGTGCGTCAGCATGTGGGCATTTCAGAAATTGCTTCATGGTGTCGGTCACAGGTATCAGTCTCCCAGTCGCCGGTAACGATACTGTAACTTGCAGTTAGTACCTCTAATATGGTAGTGAATAATAGTCTATGACAGCAGACTGTTTCTTTAATAGTCAGTATATGATACTGATTAACGTTTAAAACTGATGTGACTTACCTGTGTAGCCTTTATTAAGGTGATTTACTTCTAAACCAGCGTCCTTTTACAACATTTGCTGTTAAATTAATGCAGAACTACATGTTTTGTTATAACGATAAAATAATGAACCATTATTTGGGGAGGATGTTGTGGTTCCAGGTGGTTCGCTACTACACGGCTCCAAAAACACATTCAGTTTCAGCCTGAGAGGCTAAGGCTGACCTGCAGTTCAAATCAAAGAACTATTCGGGGAATCTGAAGATGTGGAAAAAATGCTCTCATGTTTTTCAAATCTGTGCCGCTTATGATCTAAGATTGACGTACTGTGGCGCGCTGACAGATTTAGGGAGTGGGTGTCTGTTGTTTAATCCCTCACCTGCTGTGCAGTATTTGTCCTCTGTGATCTGGTCGAGTCTTCCTAGCAGTGCATCAATGTTGGACTTGATCTGCGTGAGTTCTGATTTGATAGCTTGCAGTTCGTTGGATTTTACTGCTGGACACACACATACGTGCACACACACACACACACACACACACACACACACACACACACACAAATGCAGAGTCATGCATGAAAAAGTGAAAATATGCTTCAACTGAATAAATCAGTGACTTTTATACTGCTGTAAAACTCAGAGAACAAAAGAGACCAGTTTGGTAATGTTCTAGAAGGACGTTTTCTAAGACAGAGAGTTCCAGTGCCGCCATAAGGTTCTAAATCTCAGAACTGACATGATGATCTGAAAGTGCACCAGATTCCAGCAGTTACAGAGTCATCTGAGTTCACCATCGTCTCTCAGAGGTGATCCTGATCTCCCAGTGAGGCACAGAGGAGACCAAACTACTGTGGAACCAGGAACGTAGCAACATATCGTATTCTGTTATACCAGATTATATAGCAGCTTATCATACTGTATCTCAGCTTATCATACTGTATCTCAGCGTATCATACTGTATCTCAGCGTATCATACTGTATCACAGCTTATCATACTGTATCTCAGCTTATCATACTGTATCACAGCGTATCATACTGTATCTCAGCTTATCATACTGTATCACAGCGTATCATACTGTATCTCAGCTTATCATACTGTATCTCAGCGTATCATACTGTATCTCAGCTTATCATACTGTATCTCAGCTTATCATACTGTATCTCAGCGTATCATACTGTATCATATTGTACCAAATGGCATTGCAGTTTAGATAAGTAGATCACTGTTAATCCCAGAGGCAAAGTCGTCTAATACAGAAGCACAAATCAAACTATATTGCAGCAAAATCATATTACATTATATTTTGTTATATTGTATTATACTGTATCAGTGTATCATATTGTATCACAGTGTATCATATTTTATCATATTGTATTGCAATGTATCATATTTACCATATTACATCATACTGTATCATACTATGAAATACTGTTTCACAGTGTATCATACTGTATGATACTATGTAATGTTGAATTGCAGTGTATCATATTATATTGTATTTTGCTGTGTCAAATTGTATCACATTATGAAACTCTAAAGCTTCGCTCTCTGGTGTCTCATGAACATTCTAGACTTTTAGTCTCTAACCACCTCCAATCAGCCTGCAACTGCTTTATCTGATTTTACTTTACTATTAATATGACTTTTGCTATGTTTTAGCAGTGTGTGTTATTGTTTTTACTTTTACTTTTTTTACTTTTGTACTTTATGACTCTTTATTTTTATCATTCTCTTTATTCTTTTTATTCCTCTAATTAGTATTCATTTCATTATTTTATTATTGTCAATTTATTTTTTTACATCTTTCTTTTTTTTTCTTTTAAATTGTTATATTGTAATTTTAATTGTTTATTGATTTAACAGTTTACTGGTACCTTCTTATTATTAAACTTTACTTTTATAATTTTTATTATTTAATTATAGCATTTGATTTATTTTTTTACTGTACAACTTCTCAATGCCTGATTCCTGAGGCTCTCCCTCAATGTATTCCGAGTTTAAATAAAGGTTGATTGATTGATGATTGATTGATTGATTGATTGATTAATTGATTGATTGATGGATTATATCACAGAATACTGCACTGTGACGAATGACCACAGTACGTTTTGTATGGCATCATATCATTTTGTAATGTACTGTATCATATTGTATAATATTGTATTGCAGCATATCATATTGTATCGTATTATATAAATTTGTACAGTGGCATGTTAGCTTGTGGCTAGTGCGTCAGATCAGATTCCCCACCTGGGTAAGCACCCTGCTCTATATCAATAAGAGTCCTTGGGCAAGACTCCTAACACTACCTTCACCTACCTGTGTAAAATGATCAAACTGCGAGTGGCTCTGAATAAGAGCGTCTGCTAAATACTGTAAATTTAAATGTAAATCAGGATACAGTATAGCACAGATGTTGTTTCTGATATTTTACTTTTATAATGTTGAACAGTCTGATAAACTGAAAAAGGAAACATTTATATATTAACACATTTTCAGCTGCTCATTATATTTTGCAGTATCAGTTTTTGGTTACGCTTCTTTTTGACAGAGGTTCTTTTCAAACCTCTCCTTGTTTCAAATGGAAGTGCAGCATTTTGGAATGAAATTCTTTGAATTCTGATTGTTCTGAAGCTTCAGGGCGGCGCTGAGTTCTGCTATATGAAGTGAACGCGTGTGTAATGTGTACATTTGTGCTTGGCTGAGCTGTTGGGCAGGATGTTGGATCTGCTTAGGAGTTTGACGGGTAACGACTTCACCCTGCGCATCACAGGCACGGCCACACGGGGGCGCTTTATGGGCACAGCTCTGGGCACTGGTGATACTCGGCCTCTGCACTCAAACAGTCTGCAGGAGGAGAGTTTAGGAGAGGAGAGGATAGGAGAGAGAAGAGAGGAGAGGAGAGAGAAGAGGGTGAGATGAGGACAGCAGCCTGACATTCAGTGGCAAAGACAGTCCAGCTCTACCAAGAGCACTCAGAGAATTATAATAATATTTAGGCTATTATTATTAAAACCTCCAGAGCTAGTGTAAATACTGATTTGACTGAATATCGCTTCCATATGAGAGCACCGGTGCTGCTCATTATTTTTATTAACATCTTTATTTTAAACTGAAAATGACATGAACTCAACAGTGAGATCAAAACAAGAGCTCAGCTTCAGGAGGAGAATTTGAATTATTTGGTAATTTGACCATATAATAAATTAAAAACCCAGGAAACCCAAATCTGTGTTTTCTTTCTATTTAGGTTAATCCTGTTCTTTCAGGCAAACAATACTAAGTTTACCCTTTTAATAACGTTCCAGTGACCAATACATTTCACAATATTTTTCTCTTCTAAATGTAACTGGGCAGTTCTAATTAGAATCAGAATCAATATCAGAATATATATTTCACTAAGCATGTTACACATACAAGGAATCAGTCTCAGTGAGTCACACATGTTTGACATTAACACACTGATCAGACCAGACAAACATGGACTGATAACAAGCATTTAACTAACCGACAAATTGCATAACAATGCAGTACATAGAATAAAGAATAATGAATAATAAAGAGCTGTAGTGGAGGAGATAAAGAGATGTGTGAATATCTGTATATATGCAAGTATAAATATCTATACATATGCAGGTCTGAATAGACTTCATCATCATCATCATCATCATCATCATCATCATTGCTTAGATCAGATAGGGTCACAGTAGCAGTTGGGAGAGCAGAAAATCCCAGATGACCCTGTCCCCTGCAACTTCCTCCAGCTCATGCAGGGGGACCCCAAGCCGCTCCCAAGGCAACTTGGAGATATAATCCCTCCAGCGGGTCCTAGGACAACCCCAGGGTCTCATCCCAGTAGGCTGTGCCTGGTAAATCCCCACTGGGAGGCGTTCGGGGCATCCTGATCAGATGCCCAAACTACCTCAACTGGTTCCTCTCAACGCGGAGGAGTAGCGGCTCTACTCCGAGCTCCTCCCAGATGTTCGAGCTCCTCATACTGTCAGTAGAGTGTAGCAGCCACCCTGCAAAGAAAGCTCATTTCCGCTGCTTGTATCTGTGATCTCATTCTTTTGGTCATTACCCATGGTTCATGACCACAGGTGAGGGTTGGGCTTCCCATCACTCATGAACAAGACCCCGAGATACTTAAACTCCTCCACCTGGGGCAGGTCCTTTCCCCTTACCTGGAGTGGGCATGCCATCCTTTTCCAGGCAAGGCCCATGGACTCATACTTGGAGGTACTGATCCACATACAAACCGCTTCACACTCAGCTGCAAACCGCTCCAGTGAGCACTGGAGGCATCCATGTGATCCAGCCAAAAGGACAACATCATCTGCAAATAGCAGAGATACTATCCTTCAGCCTCCACACATAATGCCCTCCTGACCTCGGCTACGCCTTGACACCCTGTCCTTGAATATCATGAACAGGAGTGGAGACAAGGCACAACCTTGGTGGAGTCCAACACTAACACTGAGTTTGACAAGCTTGACTTAATGCTGAGTATACGAACACAGCTCTCACTCCGGGAGTACAGAGATTGAATGGCTCAGAGTAGTAGCCCCAGGACCCCATACTCCCAAAGGACCTCCCACAGGATATCTCGGGGAACATGGTCATAAACCTTCTCCAAGTCCACGAAACACATGTAGACTGGGTTGGCAAACTTCAATGTCCCCTCAACAATCTGCAAGAGTGTGAAAAGCTGGTCGATTGTTCCACCGGAAACAAGCCGGAAATCAGCATTGTTCTTCTTCAATCTGAGGTTCGACTATTGGTCTGAGTCTCCTTTCCAGCACCTTGGCATAAACTTTCCCAGGGAGGCTGAGCAGTGTGATACCCCGGTAGTTGGCACATACCCTCCAGTCCCCTTTCTTAAATATAGGAATCACCACCCCGGTCTGCCAGTCCAAGGGTACTTTTTCTGAGGCCCATGTGATATTGCAGAGGTGTGTCAGCCACGACAGCCCCACAACATCCAGAGCCTTAAGCATTTCCAGGCGAATCTCATCCACTCCCGGTGCCTTGCCACAGAGGAGCTTTCCAACTACCTCAGTGACCTCCATCAGGGAAATGGAGCATGACATGGTAGAAGCCTCTGGCCCGGACTCCTGTAAGGCAGGCATGTCCCTCAGATTAAGGAGTTCCTCAAAGTGCTCCTTCTACCGACCAACAATATCCTTATTTGAAGTAAGAGTTTCTCCACCTTGCCAAATACAGCTTGGGCGCAGCCACCCCGATCACTTCTGAGTCACCGGATAGTTGTCCAGAACCTCCTTGAAGTCGACTGAAAGTCTTTTTCCATGGCCATGCTGAACTCCTCCCATGCCCTGGATTCTGCTTCTGCCACCATTGCCACCGCTGCCTTTTTTTGCCCTTCAGTACCTATCTGCTGAGTCAGGAGTTCTCTGGGCCATCCAGTTCCTAAAGGTCTCTTTCTTCAGCTTGACAGCCTCCCTCACCACCAGTATCCACCAGGGGGTTCTTGGGTTACCGCCCTGACAGGTACCAAGAAGCTTTTGGCCACAGCTACACCAGCAGCTTCCAGAATAGAGGTTTTGAACAGGGTCTATTCACACTCCATGTCCCCTACCTTATCCGGAACATGAGAAAAGCTCTCCTGGAGGTGGGAGTTATATCTAGTCGGTACTTCTCAACCTCCTGGACAAGCTCCAGATCCTTCCCCAAGTGGGGTTACATTCCACGTACCAAGAGCCAGTTTCCGCTGCAGGGATCCATGCCACCAAGGACCTCCCTGCCATCTCACACCGCCTATATGGTGCTGGACCAGTCCCCCATGCTGACCCTTGCGGGTGGTCCACACGGTCCCCCACATTGGCAGGTTACGCTCCGGGGTAGGTCTCAGCAACCCTCTCCTGGGCAGGGTACACAATTTCCTGCATCCCTTAGTCGTGGAGGACTAAGGGAGGATTTATTGTATAATCAGGGAGAATTTGTTGTATAATTTGTGTTTATTTTGAAGCAGTAAAAGCACAGTTTAATGTGTTTTAAGTGGAACCTGGATTAGTAGTGTTTGTTTATATCAGTGTGCATGTAAAATAAGAACGTCCACTTTTAAACACTCTTTTGTTCCTTTTATTGACTACCTTCCCTGCAGTTTTCTAAAATTCTCTTTTGTTCTAAACACTCTGGCATTTCTTTTGTTTGTCCTTCTCCCTCCCCCGCTTTTGTTATCATTCCTCCCAGTGAAACTTTCCTTGGTGACACTGCAGTGGCGCAATGGTAACACTCTTGCCTCCGCATCTTGAGGTCACTAATTGGAGCCTCGTCAAGGGCAACCTTATTTCTCTTTCCCCTGTGCTCTCAAACCTCTGCTGCTCTGCACTTGATCTGTCCATCTCTGTGCCTTGCAGATGGCTTGTCCCCTTAGGTCTCAGGCTTTTCTGCGTGAGGATCGTCAGTTTGATCCTCACATGGGGACTAGTCTGACATATCGTTACGGGGGCAACAAAAGGCTGGTAAAGTTGTGTAATGCTAAAAAACACCTGGTGGTTCGTTGGCAGCAGGTCAGCAACATAACTGGGTATAAAAGAGCATCTCAGAGAGGCGGAGTCTTTCAGAAGTAAAGATGAGGAGGGGTTCACCACTCTGTGAAAGACTGCACCATCAAATAGAGCAACAGTTCAAGAATAACGTTTCTCAACATAAAATAGCAAAGAACTTTTGCTTTTCATCATCTACAGTACATAATATCATTAAAAGATTCAGAGAATCTGGAGAAATCTCTGTATGTGAGGGACAAGGCCAAAAACCAGTATTTGCTGGTCATGATCTTTGGGCCCTCAGGCAGCACTGCATTAAAAACAGACATGATTCTGTAGTGGAAATCACTGCATGGGCTCAGAAACACGTCTGAAAAACACTGTCTGTGAAAACAGTTCATCACTGCATCCACAAATGCAAGATAAAACTCACACAAATAGACAGGATCCAGAAACGCCGCCACCTTCTCTGGGCCTGAGCTCCTTTAAAATGGACTGAGTGAAGTGGAAAAGTATCCTGTGGTCCGATGAATCAACATTTTAAATTCTTTTTGGAAATCATGGACACTGCTGTGTCTGATCCACTTGTACCAGCGTAACACACTAACACACCACCACCACGTCAGTGTTACTGCAGTGCTGAGAATGATCCACAATCCAAATAGTACCTGCTCTGTGAGGGTCCATGGGGGTCCTGACCACTGAAGAACAGGGTAAAAGGGGGCTAACAAAGTATCAGAGAAACAGATGGACTACAGTCTGTAACTGTAGAACTACAAAGTGCACCTATATAGTAAGTGGAGCTGATAAAATGGACAATGAGCGCAGAAACAAGGAGGTGGTCATAATGTTATGCCCAATCGGTGTAAGAGCTCTGAATAAAATATAAAATCATTTTTTACACAGGAACATTAAGTTTTTGTATATACAGACACTACATAACAGAATAAACAACTAAACATAAATACAGTAAAACACAGAAAGACTTTTTGCTAAGCCGCTCATCAGACAGTGAAACTCCAGCTCCATTCAACTCAACTCGGCTCTGACTCTTGGCGCAGTGCATTGTGGGCATGCAGGCCCAGCAAGTGTGTTTAGGATCTTCAGAGTGGTGACATTCAGTTTGCAGCCTGAACTACAGGTGATTCATAGGGTCAAAAAGAACCTGCATTAAAGGCACTTATTTTTAAACTGTGTTAAAGTGAGACTGAGTTAATGCACTATTATCACATTAACTTCAACAGCCCTAATATACACACTACTGGGCAAAAGACATGGGCAGAGCCTGAAATGGCACAACATTAAGATTTTTATGGCTAACAAATCATTAAACAAACAGCT